TGCATGAACATGCTGCCTGTGGGTGTGTGTGAGAACATGTCCATTCACACGGTAACTTTCTGGGAAACCAGTGTGTGAAATTAACACGATTAATAGTTTTTGCCCTTTACATTCATTGAACAACAACTTGAGCAGCTTGTGAGAGCGCAGACTGAACTCAGATGGCGCCTAAAGTCAGGTGAAGCACTGCAGCTATAGCACAGCTCGGTGATTTTGGCTTTCTTGGATCAGCAATCCTCAACCCCAAAATATTCCATTTATAATCCAAAACAACAACAAGGTGTGGACTGGCTAGATAACTTTAAAAATTAAGTGAGCATTACGTTACATTGGGGTCAGGAGAGAGATGTAGCAAAGAGCATGTTAGGAGTGAGGCAGTAAATTCTCAGTAAAGGCGCAGACATGCGGGCTTATGTCTCTAGGCAAAGGTGTGAGGAGTGTCAGTGTGTGTCATGAGGTTGGCCGATACCTGATCTAAATCTTTGTCAGTAGGTCCGAGTGTGTTATCCAGAGTGTTCCTTCTCCCCGTCTGGTCCAGTGTGGAGTAGGCATCTGAAGAGGAGAAGCACGTGTTTAATTGGTACTTCCAATAAATACACAAAGGGCGTAGAATATGGAGCTGGCAGGAAAGAGAAACAGAAGAAGACCGCAGAGGAGATTTATGATGTAGTGAGGGAAGACATGCAGTGGGTTAGTGTGACAGAGGAGGATCCTGGGGACAGAGGCAGATGGTCCGCTGTGCTGACTCAAAGGCAGCAGCTGGAAGTCAGTGATGACTTGATGCCAATGAAAGCAAAGGCATGTCGGACAGCTCTTCTGTCAGTTGTATCTGTTTGTGTGTTTTGTGTTTGCACACTTGCCTGGTCCCATGTCATTCATTGGAATCATTTCCCGGTCACTTTTGCCACCTGTGTGTCAGAGAAATATTAAAACAGTCAGAAATGCATGTATTTCTCTGTAATTCTAAAGAATTAAGTCGAGACAAATAATTTTTTAATGCAACCAAAGTGCTCAACAGGTAAAAATAAATAAATAAACAACTAAATAAATAAATCACCACAACTAAAACAAAAGTAAAAGCAAATGTCCAGATTCAGTCTACTTTGAAATTCAAAGAATGAAACTGTGTTTTTAAATCAGTACTAAAAATGTCCTGTGTTGACATTGCTTCAAAAATTGCCACACACTTCCGGAGGCCCGGTCCCTTCTATACCTTAAACCTGACCTCAGCACTCAGGGAGGAGTCAGGCGGGTCCAACACACACAGTAAAAAAACAAAAACATGCAAAAATCACTTCGAAAACTGACTGGGAGGCGGTGCAGATCAAATATGCTTTCACTATTCTTGAAAATTCCCCATGTGGCAAAGCTGTAAATGTAATGAATCCAAAGTTGGCTGAGATGAGTAACTCCATATCTGCAAACAGCCCGTTATCATTCTGCACAATCAACTTCCGAGTTGCAGTCATGCAGAGGAATCGTTCAGACTCAAGTTTAGAGACGGAAATTATGTGAAACTCTGAATAGATACTTAAAGGGCCAATTTGAATAACAACTGACGCCACTACATAATTTATTTTATAAAAACAAGAAGACTGGTAACAATCATTACACTGAAACCTTTTAAGCAAAGTGGCGGCTATTTTGACTCCTTCCACTGACCTTTGTCTATAAGCGGCAGAGTGCTTTCCTCATATCCGTTGGGTTTGTTGGTGGGAGGGTTTAAGTTGACCATGAAATCTGTCTTCTTCCAGCCATCCTTTTCCAAAGTGCGCCGCAGGTCCTTGTAGCCCCAAACTGTCTGCAGCACTAGGCCGGCTCCACGCACCTCCCGATCTGAACGATT